ATATTTGTTAAAAATATTAACTATTCTACTGTTAAAATGCATATACAAACTCGTATTTTGTAATTACATTTTGAAATTGTTATGCGCGATTGCCGTACATATCAGTGAAAAAAAAATGTAGGACATGATATGCTATATTTTAAGATAGTTACTTCTATGTTACTCCTGGTGACTACGACACGCATTCTCTTCTTAATGAAATATTGGGTTAAATAATAGTGATTTTAAATAAATTGATTAAACCAACTATACATTTTTTTAGCCTATCTTAAATTCCAATTTTTTCACATTGAGTTTATTTTAAAAACGCACCTATTGATTTTTTCTTTAAAATTATTTAAATATATTTAATATGACATAACTAATAAGGAAAGGTTTCTATGCATTAAAAAAATGTCTGTGTATACATGATACACTGGAGACTTGCCCAATTATCGATTTGAAAACTGCACACATGTAAGTACACACGTTGGTTATCATTAAAATGTGTTATTAAAGTAGCTACATATATGTGTAACAGTAAACGGTGTGTTGAGTAGTAATCACTCAATTTTAAAAATTAAAATAAAGAAGTTTTTTTTACATTGATTATAATATTAAATAAATTTCAATTTTCAATACTGCAATCAACACAAAGTATACATATACAAAAAAAAAAAATTCGGTCTCAAAAAAAAAAAAGGGATTTAAAATAGTCTTCAGTTTTTAATTTTTTATGAAAATCTGTAGTTTCTTTTCAAGTTATCAACAAAATAAATAATAATCTTTCCTACAACATAACGTTTGGCCACAACCCCTTCCCTAAGATTAAAAAATTTAATATATTAATATTTTATATTTTTTAACGTTCTTGTTCGAATGATTTTTTGATTATTATTGGCATCATTCACGAATAAAAATGGTCTTTATTTATTTTTGAACAACCGCCAATAAATAACGAATACCATAAAACTAAATACAGAAAATACAATAGTAACTTGATTATATTACAAAACTTCTATATTATATACATTTATCTATTTATTTTTAATAAATTTGCACAAATAACGAAGTAAGGAACGTATTGTGTCATTATTGAGTACTTCAGAATGTAATAATTGTTCCGGAGATTGAAACTTATTATCGTAAATTTCATTATTATTAATTTGTGTCAAAATATTGAGAAATATACACAGTTTATTTTAATACAGACAAAATTTATACATTTTAAGGAAATTCACCACCTTTAAAATTGGAAACTTAGTTTTGTAGAATTTTACATGAAATCGAAATATTTCGTGTATATATATATATACATTCATCGTAATAAAATATAAAATTTGAAGTCGTAAAATAATAGATAACACAATTTTGTACAACTGTAAGGTAAAAATTAATCAATTTAAAAACTATAAAATAAGCAACTTGGTATTGAAATTGGTAATGGCTTCAGAATTATATAAATAATCTCCTAAGTACACAAAAAATTGTAGAGTGTACCTATATAGTTATTTAAAAACATGATACACCTTATATAAATAACATGAGTTTTTTTTAGACGCCATGCTACTTAATAGATCGACTCTTAAGTTGATTTTAAGTTAAAATATTTTCATATTAACATATAGTAGTAACTAGTATAAGAAGACGTCCCAGTTTTCACCGATTATTATATTATAATAACAAACCGAAATTAAGAGATAGTTTTATTCATTTTTTTCTTGATAAGCATATATCTTCTAATCAATAATCTTTCAATAACAGGCAAACCGGAATAAACGAGTTGTTAAACAACTTCTTGTTGCTGTATATTGTACTTAAAAATGACCCACACGAAAACTTACTATTCAGTATCTTTTCCAAGTATTTTAACAATACTAAAAGTTATATTAACAAATACAGTGTAGAAAATTAACTATAATAATTATAATCTCAACTACATAATTTTGCAACAGTTTTATGATGTTTAAACGTATTATTAATCAACTATTTTTTAATCATGAGAGCAATAACACATTAACATTTGGCTGACGTTCAATTTTTAGTAATACTATAATTTTTATAAATAATAACGATTTTTAAAGTGCCGTAAAAATTGTTAACTAAAAATGTAAATCGCGCACATATTACAACTTAGTTATATTTTATCATGTATTTAAAAACTAACAAATTAATCGAATATACATTAGAGATTACATAAAATTTATGGAAAACAGAATATTGGCCGAATTTTTTTTGTAAACCCTTTAAGTAGAACTTAAATTTAAGTTACTATCAATTATATGGGAAACAAATTTTTTTATTTGAATAAATTGTAATAATTGTGAAATAATTTGTGTCATAGCAAAGGAAAATTTAAAAAAAAGTCTTCAAAATAAACTTGTAATAAAATAAATTAACAAAGAAAATAAATTTGAATTACAATTAAAATAATTGCTTAAAAAACTTTTTTTCGGTATATTTAATGGTAATATGCATTATCACTAGGGAAAATTTTTAGTTTATTATTAATAATTTTTTTAAATAAAATTATAAGTTAACATAAAATTAAAATTTTAAATCACATTAATATTCGATTTAAAGAAAAGAAAATTAAAAATCTATATAGATTGTAGTCATGGGAAAATTTAAGTTTGCAAAATAAAAAAAATTAATTTTTCTCCTTGATAAACTTTGAGTACTTATAGTATTTTTGTTGTGATTATATATGTAAAATTAAAACATTTAAATGCAAATAAAATAAAACGCCATGTAATACAAATAAAAAATCATGTTAATGTATATTAATACTCTTGATTGATTTAGTTTCCTACGCAAATTACAAGAAACCCCTACACGAAAATCCTACGTTATGTATTTCAACGACAACATCCATTTTTAGAAGCGATTGAAATTAAACAACTTTTAGGATTTTTTGTTTTAATCAGAACTAGAAACTTACTTGTACAGCGCTGTTCAAAAAACAATTGTTCTGGCCAGGTTCGTTGAGCAAACCTTTGGTGTATGCCATAGAGTCCCTCGATGGTGGCATTTTAGTTGGTCTTAATGTCTGCAAAAATTAAAAAATAACTTCAATAAAATATTATTTTTGGTTTTAAAAAATTACCTGCTGTATATGTCATTAGAAAAATAAAAATAATTTATAAGCTTCCTGTTGACTATTTTTGTAGTTAGGTACTCCATTTAAAACTTAGATACTTTTATATACTTGTACACAATACCCAATAATTACAATAACACGTCCCGTACCTTCCATCGAATTCCTATATAAGTATTCGTGTTTCTGCCATTAACTAGAATTGAGGAATTTCTGACAGAAACGCCAATCCCACAAAACATTTTTACTTATTGGTAACTAACGAAAATACTGGTCTAATGAAATCATTATCATTCGTATTTTACGTCACATCCTCCAGCATTAAATTTTGGTAAAGTAATAGACTTTTTAAGTATACAATAAATATAAATAACATCAATAGCTGCCAAGACATGAAAAATTCTGTCTTGACTGTACATGGAATAACTAATACTCAATACGAGTACACGATTTTTTTTTTAACTTAGTTCTGTCTCAACAAAAATAAAAAACAATAAACAATACAATGAAATCCAAGACTTACATATTTTTATGAGCATAATGTTACTAAAATATAGGTATATTATATTACACGTTAGTTTATATAGATGCCTGCACTGCATTACATATGCATGACCATTGAAGGAACCGTGTTTCCATTTTTTAAGATATATTAAGTTGGTTACGAGTGATGACTGTTGATGTAGAAGAGAAAGACAAGAATACAGCACGTCTTTGGTCATGGATATTAAACGGCCAATACACCTTATATGAAAAAGACCCTATGTTTTAACGATTCACCGTTAAGTAGCCTAATGCAGAGTTATTGTAGATGGATTACTGTTCTATTTTTGTGTTCTTGATTTTCTAAAATACTTTTTAACACGACCAGAATGATCTATTATAATTATTTGAAACATTATTATCTCCTAATCACAAATATTTCTAAAAATTATGACCATCTTTGACCTATTATTAAAGACTACTGCTTAACTGATCAATTTAAAATGATTCATCCTTCGACCCTATTATAATTCTTTATGATTCATGACAGGGCAAAATTAAAATAAAATAGTCTATCGGATCCAGTAAATCTTTTGTCGCCCCTTGTTAAAATATAATAATGTCCAGTCACCACTTCAGATAGTAATCGTGTTGACAAAACTACTTTTTGTTCAGATAACACAACATTTTTTTATAAGGAAGACTTATAAGGGGCACATCATACATATGCTGTTAAAATAGTAAACTGGTTTATAATTTGTAATTATTATATGACAACATTAGAATTGCGCCAACAACAAAATTATATTTAAGTTACGGATCATTTTACATGACTATGAAAAAAATATAAAAAACGTAAGAACTGCTTATTACACTTATATAATTTTAATCTGTTGCACAATAAAATCATTTTCAAATTTCAGTTCAAAGTTTGATTATGATAACAGCAGTTTCTTAAAATGTTGTTAAAAAATATAAATGCATATAATTTGTACGGAATAAGTCTTAATTAATCGTACAAAAAACTATGATAAGAAAAACGGTAAACCAAGCAATGTTTGCAGTGCACTAAATTAAAATACACATATTTAATTTTAATGAATTTTTGTTAATTGAAATGTTAACTGAAGTAAAAGTCAGATATTTGGTGTCTAACAGATATGCATACAGATTATTTTAAAAGACTGTCCATAATGCAAACATTAATACCAGGTAATCTTAAATTTTTCTATACAGTTTTATGTTTCAAATTGAAAACTACTTTAATATATAGAATGAATTTCATATTTTTACAAATTAATTGTAATAAATAACACTATTAAAAATTACCAAAACGTAAATTGTTTATGATCTTTAAAACTTTACATCAACTTATTAAAACCAGTAAAAGTATAATAGATACTTAAAAACAATGTAGAGCTTGTTACATTTTACTTTTATATAATTTTTAAAGATATTATAATTAGAATTAAATGTTATGGTAGTAATGACTTATAATAATTTTGTTTTTATTATATTGGAATCACGAAAATATGTAATTATTATTATTTTTCTATTAGATTTTCAATAATCTACAATAATATTACAATAATAGCCATTGCGACCTCGTTAATATTTTGATAACACTCACTTTTAGAGTAAAATTATCGACGAAAAAATTTCTAAAAAAATAATAACAATACCAAAATGGGCTATATAAAAAAAAGCATTTGCTCGCATATATTTATGATCAGTTAACAAACAATAAACCGGAACATATTGTGTTAGCCATGTGTTAACATGACTACTATGATAAAGAGTGAAAATTCTAGGATACCGTTAACAATTGTCAGTACTTCACAAGTGATACCTCCTAATAGACAGACCTCCGCATAAAAATTGGAATTATAATACAAGATTTAAAAACGATCCCTAAAAATTATTTTTAAATAATAACCAAAAAAAAAAAAAGATCAAAACATAACCTGTAATTTTTAAAAGGTTGAGCATATTGTAACTACAACGCTACTAGGGAGAATCAAAGTAATAGAACTACCAAGTAACGTTTATTATCCATTAATGTTAGTTTACCCAAAAATATAAAAAAACAATTCTGGAATTGAAATAAAAAAATTAAAAAAATAATAATAATTTCCAAATAGAGTAACTCGTGAGTATATTGTAATATTTTCCAAATTAAGCAAACCAAAATTATTTTAGTTTCATATTTTTCTGTTTTTCTTTAATAAAAAAGGCCGCGATTTAAATANTTTCCAAATTAAGCAAACCAAAATTATTTTAGTTTCATATTTTTCTGTTTTTCTTTAATAAAAAAGGCCGCGATTTAAATAAATACAAAATCATTTATAGTACACCTGACTATTTGTATACATTTTTAATTTAATTTTTTTTTTTTTGTATTTTGATAATTTATACATGATTGCTATTATAATAATAATTTTAACAACAATCTTGTAAACTATAGTTTTGTCACTATGTATTTTAATACAATTGACACCACAATAACAAAAAAATGTAGATTACGATTTAAATAGCAATATTTAAAGTAAACATAACACATGCAAAATTTTCTTTTATCAAAAACCAGACATTCAAATCGAAATGAACAAATTATGTTATATAATTAAATATATAAACAATCACCCACGCAATGAAACGGTATACAACCTACAGTTTTTAAGAACTGAACACGTGTACTTAACAGAAAAATACATTTTATTTTATAATACTTATGCCAAATGTAACAAATTATGTTACACAAGTAATATGAATTAGTAACAATATGAATTGTTTTATTTTTCTAAGCATATTTATAAGTTATAAAAATAAAATAACTGACCGTTTTTAAATATTGCTAGTAAATATGTATTATTGTTTACACATTTTTTGTTATTTTGTTGTTAAGTGTTGTATATGTTTGTCAACCTAGTATAAGTTTTTTGAAAATAATGTAATAAATAGTTATAGTAAATAATTTAGAAAGTAGATGTCTAAAATTAATTGTTGTCTTTACTTTGCCGTTAATAAATTTAAGAAGAAATGTTAAACATGAAATTCAAAAATCATTTTGTCACTAATTCTATAATTAATCACATGCACATACACGTCAAAAGCATGTGACTTATTCACATACTTGATTATAATCAAATACAGGAGTAATAAACTAAATTTTAGATACAACAACAAGCTCATTAAATATATTTAATAAATAAATTTAAAACCAAAATAAAAAAAATCTCTAAACGTGTAATAAATTAAGGTGATTACAATTACGTCGATATGGTCCAATAGCTTCCCTACTTAATACACTCCAACATAAGAAACTGCGTGTCATTTAAGCACTTGAAATTCCAGACATTATGAAATATTAGTACTCGTCATTTTATAAATTATAAAATCATAGATGATCAACAGTTAAGATTTAATTTGACATACATATACATTATTAAGATAATTATCTTCAAAGTTACCACTCGATAATCAAAATTCAGATTATTAAAAAATTATATTTATATTGAAAGGTTTTTTCGAAATTTTATTCAGGAAAATAACTAATAAAAAATATTTCTTCTTCAAACAAAAAAAAA